GGCACTGCAGCTTTCTTTCACCGGCGAGGGAATTGATTTGATTAATGATCTTTCTAGGGCTCTGCTTGGGAGTGGATGAACCCTTTTTCAGGACAGCTAAATGAATCCCGAGATTTGAAATGGGATGCGAGTGAATTTTGTGGTGCTAAACAGGTGATTGAGGACGGAAATGGGGATTGTGGTAGGGTTAGAGAGCTGAGGTTGCTTCCATTGGATTTCAGAAGTGTGCCTCTGAGGATTCTGCAGTATATCCTTCGGATAACCCATGATGTTTTCTTCTTGGCGCAGAATAATTGAGTAAGTAATTTTATTAATTTGTATTTTTTCGGTCCTGTTTCTATGTTTTGGTTCTCTCCGTTGGTTGTTTAATTAACCTTTCTTTGCTACTTGTGTTTTTTTTGGTACAAGTTGTGCCTGATGCCAGGTGATGTCAGATAGAAGTTTTAAACCTACAGAATTCGTTGGGTTCAGATGGATCCTGAAAATTTAATGATGCTGTAATCCAGTTATAATATCGAACATAGCATATAAATAGTGTCACTCATATTTCCCTAGTTTCCTGTTGAAATTGCTTTACGAGGTATCTTATAATAGTTCCATGGTTGGTGGAGAAGGAAGGAACAAAACGCATCATTACATGGATTGGACAAAGAATCTCTCAATGGTAAGGCACTTTTATGCTTTGAAAACCCACATAAGAAAAGCCAAGAATGATTCCAGGGATGAAGAAAGTTGTCATTTTTAAATTCTGACATAAAAGACCAGTAAGGATATACCATTGACTTTGAACCATATAATAGTTAATCAAAGCCGACTTTGCAGACGAACGTATTCTAATTTTAGATAAAAGTTCACAGGAGAGATTTTAAAAGGAAAAATAGGTGGACAATTTAAGAGATGGAGGGAAACAAGTTGATATTTTTCATAGTTTTTCTGGTTTTGGGATTGTGTGCAGGTAGTAATGATCAGCAACCAAGGTGGAGAAAATGGGGGCTATCTCCAAGCAGCAGTCCATCAACAATCAATAAATTCGGGTCATCAATCATATTCCCACTGTATGGCAATGTTTATCCCAATGGGTATGTACATTTCAGCTCCTTTATTTCTTTGAGAGATGGTTATTTTACTTCTCAATTGCCTTTTCGAGTTGGTGCAGGTTTTAGTCAGTGAACACATATTTTCATTTTCTGAAAAGTTAAAAAAAAAAAATTGCAATTGGAAAATGTGGTGAATCCTTGAATGAGCAATGGGATTTTATGTGGAATTATTATATTGTCAGGAACCCAAAATTACATTATACTAGCATTCGATCCTGTGCATGTGCACAGATGCAAATAAAATTTTATATGTTATATGTAGTGTATGTAATATTTAAAATCATAAGGTAGATAATAGCATGTCACATTTTATAAATTTAATCATTAGTAAAAATGAACGATAAACTATTAACTTGCATATTAATCTTCATATCGATTGCAGTTATATAATTTTTGCAATCTTTTTTTTTTATTATGAACAATTGAAGATAAAACAATATTGAAATTATTATTATTATTATAGCAATTGTGTACGAAATTTTAAAAATTTTGGTTATATCATAAAAATTAAATAACTAATCTTAATTAAACAACTTGTTTAATGAGTTAAAACAAAAAAAATAATTTAAATAAATAGTTTAAAAAAATTAAATTATAATACCATTTAATGTGACTTTATGATTTGTTAGTAGTAGTTGTTATATAATAAAATAAATAAAAAATATAAATACTTAACTAATGCAAAGTAACGTCTTTTTGAGGGAAAAGTTTTGAGGTTTTATTAATATATATACTAGAAATGTATTTAATTTTTTGGGATATATGAGCCAGTAGAGTATTCCTTGCAGGTTTTATTTTGTTCAGGTTTACTTGGGATACCCACCGAGGCCTTATTTTCTTGATCCTGACACTGGCAGCGACCTCACGTGGGTACAATGTGATGCCCCTTGTGTTCGTTGTACAACGGTAAAATTGATCACCATTATGGTGCAACATAATAACAATTAGAATATATAATGCAAAAATGGTGAGGATAATTAAAGTCTTGTACTAGAAGGAGAGGGCTAGGCTTGAAATACTAGAGATAATAAGAAATTGGCTGGAGAGCTCGAGAGAAACAGGAATCATTGAGGTTTGGATTGCTGAAATAGTGTTGGGAAAAAGTCTTGACTCGGAAACTGTAAAGTAAATTAACATTCATTGACAAAATTTAATCATTGTTTTCATTCCACCGCTTGTGATATCCGTAAGTTTCTGTGGAATGTGTATCTGAACGACATTTGGCCATTGTGCCTGATGGCTCTTAAAAAGCTTTGGTAATTGGGGAATGATCCCATTAGGCGAATGCAATTAACAAGCTGTCAGATGTTGTGAAGGAAAACAAGTAGACTTATAAAATATAATGTTTTTTTTTTTGGTCTGCTCATGAGACATCATGATAAACTCCTTCTGTCATTTTATGGTTTTCTTTCTTATGTATCGTTTGCTCAAGAAGTTACGTTAATTGCCACAAATTTAGGGTACTTGAGTGCAGTGCTTAATTAGGAAATTCTTGACAAAAAAAGTTTTCCATCATTTTTTAGGGATTTCATCCGCTTTATCGGCCAAGCAACGACCTTGTTGTGTGTAGAGATCCTCTTTGCGCTTCCCTTCACACGTCTGATTACACTTGTGACAACCCACAACAATGTGATTATGAAGTCGAGTATGCAGATGGAGGCTCATCTCTAGGGGTGCTCGTCAATGATTTCTTTACCCTGAATCTCACCAGTGGGGTCCGCATGAGTCCTCGTTTGACTATTGGGTTAGTGCTTGATCTCGAGTTTTTCCAAACGATTTCACTGTATTTGTGTTCTTATCATGCTATGCATGGAGTGGCACATTTTTTTAGATGACTTCATATTTGATGCAATGCTGAGTTTTTCCAAATGATTACACTGTATTTTGTGTTCTTATCATGCTATGCATGAAGTGGCACATTTTTTTATATTGACTTCATATTAGATGCAATGCTCGAAAAATATATTAACTTGATTTTTATAATCCGCTTTTATCTGGATTGCATATATCTGTGTTTTAACAATGAAAAATAAGCAAAATAGGTGATAATTTCTAGCTGGTTTCGTGTTTTATTACTTTCCATAACTCATTTAATAAGTGTAATCATGCAATAGTATCTCATAACAATAGATTACATGAACGCTGAACATGCCAAGAGTCTGTACATTAACGATACTTTTTTCGTAGTGCCTCTTTGAATACATTAATTATATCTGGCTTGTATCAGCTTTCGTCACTTGTATCGGTTTCCCCACCAATCCGAGAGACATTATTAAGCCACTCATAATAATATTTATATCTAAATAAAAACTGAGGTGGTAATGACAATTTTTTGAATCAAGTGTTGTTCCTTTAGAGTTTGTCACTATGTGATTGTCCTCCACCTTGTTCTTAGTGATTGTAAATTTTTCCATGTATAATCAATATTGCATTTTCCATTACAAAACGGAACATTTTTTTTTTTTTTTTTTTT